TATTAATTACATGACAGAAGGGGAAAATAACAAGGATTTTTTTAGGTGGAATTATAAGAAGAATAGTTGGGAAAAAATAGATGAGGTCAATAGTAGAGGGGATGAGCTGAGATGGTGCAGAGAGAGCAAGTCGTGGGTAGAGATGGCAGATAATAAAAATAAAACTGAGAAGGGGGACTATAGGAGAAATGATGAATGGGAATTTTTTCATTTAGGAATAGTTGAGGAGTATTTTGAAGACACAGGGGCAGATAAGAGGGGGATTGTTCCGTTGGATAAATTAGAAACTTGGGAAAATGATAACAAATGTATTATTTTGTTAGCAGAGGAAAAAAGAGGTCACTGAGAAAATGTCAGATTTTCTGGAAAAGATCAACTATCCCGAGGAAATGAGGGCAAGCATAACTGAGTATAGGGGCGAGGAGTTTTTTTTAGTTTCGAGGGAGGAGGTCAGAATAGTTGAAGCAAACGATGTAGAGGTACAAGGGGAAATAGAGTTTTTTGGTGCGGGTGTTCACAGTGATATAACTTCACGTGGTGATTTTGGTATGGATGTTCCACACGTTAGTAATAGTGTTAGTGATGTTCCACACTTTGGTGATATTGGCTGTCCTGATGAACAGGATGATTCTGACGTAGCACTTGGTGATGAAAGTGGGATTTTTTATTTTGATGCAGCTTGTGCGTATGATAATGTACAAGAGTCGGTTAATATACAACTGGGAATTTTGAATTTTTTGGTGCAAAAAGATGTTGATTTGGTGCAAGAGGCAGTTGTTGACGAAAGTGTGTGTTGTGAGTTTGAATGTTTCAGAACCTGGACAAGCTACGGTGAGCACGACGTGGAGGTCGTGAACTTGTCAAGGGCAGTCCCGAGAGGGGGACATAAGGTGAACAAAGTTGAAGTCATCGGTAATGACTTCATCATCGGTAATGACTTCAGATGGAGCTACGAGGGTCGTAGTCCACACGCTGAAGTTAGTGGTGTCACTGGTTGCTCGAGGTGCGAGAGCCGGTGTAGTTGTAGGTCTAGTTTAGACTCAGTCAGTCTTGTTGTTGACCGTTGTCACTTGGAGTCCGTGGAGGACGTGACCTTTTGTCCCGATGTGGGACCAGGGGGTAGAAATAATGTTTTTCATAATAAAGTATGTCATGTGGGTTTAGGTGGGGGATGTTTTGATTTTGTTTTTGATGTGTATTATAAAATTGTATTATGTCATGAGAGCCGGGAGCGCTTTGAACGTGTTGAGGGTTTTGGGTTTGTTGAGAGGTGTTGCCATGAGTTGGGAGGTGAGGAATGTAAATTTTGTTTCACTGGGTTATGTGAACATTTGCTTTGGACAATGTATTTTGAATTTTAGTGATAAGTCTGTTCAATTTTTGTTATTGCAATTTTATGATGTCATTTTGGTGTGTGACACCACTACTGTGAGTGATGTCAACGAAAGGGGGGAGGAATGTTGTGAACTAGTTTGTTGTGAATGTTGGGTAGGGGGAGTTGTTAATCGTGGGAGTGTTTTGTGAGTTGTTGGTCGTGGGGTCAGAGCGTGAAAGTTAGTCCGTGATGTGGAACGGTTGCGTAGGCTGAGTTGTTGTGTGGTTATATAAAAGGGATGTGTGTTAGCTAGAGGTCAATCAGAGAAAGTCAGGGTCAGAGAAAGTCAGAGTCAGTGAGAGACGGAGTGACACGTTAGACAGTTAGAGTCAGAGAGCAAGAGAATTGTTAGTAGCCAGAGATAGAGTGAAGTGTATCTTGTTTTATAAAGAACCTAATAAACATTCTGTATATATATGTTACATGAGACCTTTGCGTTCTATGTCATACACCCTAGACAACGGAGGGAGAGCAGTAACATTTGAAGTATAAAGAAGATCGTAACATTTGGAGATAGCATAAGCATAACCAGAGGTCGTAACACCAGCCAGAAAGCCAGACTGACGTGTGGGAAGAAATGTCATCATAACATGGATACAATGAGCCAGTGTATCTGCATCCTAAAGTCTAAGGATTTTCAAGATATGTTTCACACTGAATTTGGTTGAAACATTTGTAAAATACACCTATTCAACTACCATTGGATCTTCTAAACCTTCTATCAACTGTAGTTTGTTGATATTTCAACAATATACCAATTTTACACATTTCTAGGACCACTGATGTGCATGGCAACTGTACAAGTCCTCAGTGTACAAAAATACTCATCAAACGCAACAATGTTTCATTACTACGGTACCATGAATTTTGGGCTAATGCCTTATTCCCAAAAACAGTTTTATTCAAATAAGACATTCTTCAAAGTTTCTAATATTGAAACTGACTATGAGGACAAACTGTGCAAAGTGAACTTGTCAGACTTGATCAGAAGTGAATAAAGATAGAAACCAAAGCAATGTGATGTGATGTGGCGGATAAGAGATAATAAAATTTATATTATGTTTAATGGAGAGAAAATTAAACAAACCTCACTTATTTCAAATAATATGACAGCAAATGGATTTTCTTTTGTGAACAAAACCAAAACTGATGGTGTCTTTCTAGGCAATTATTGGGGAGAAAACCAAATACTGTCAAATCAGATTTTGAAATCATACAATTCATTCCTGTGAAATGTGTGGTGTTTACCTGTTGTTAAATGAACATATCACTCAAAGTAAAGAGAACAGCACTGCACTAACCCCCTTTTCCATTTTGTTTGATAATGTTAACTATAATCTCTTCAGAATCGTTCAAAAGAAAATTATAATATAGATGAGCTGAAGCTACCTGACATTTTATTCTCAATTGACTTCACAGAGAAAATTATTTTAGCATTAGATGATTTAATAAAAGGGATGATGTTCCAAGTGTCACAAATCTAAATAACACAAAATACAATTTCTGATTGCATAGATTTTAAAAGCCATTCTACAGTGTGCTATAAATTAGGAATGCTAAGAAGAGAAAATCATAAATCAATAGTAGCACATGGTAAATTTATCTTTGTTAAAAAAAAACAAGAAACTTTCTGAGTAATAGCACCATGAAGTTTAAAATATCTGTAATTTTTTAAAATCTGTAAGTAATTTTTAAAAGGTAAAATCATAATAACCAGTATTTTTTGTGAATTACTTTGTGGGGGGTGGGGGGGGCAGTGATTTTTTATTATTTTTTAATTATTTCCCCTTTTTGACACATTTTACAAAATAATTTATATTTTGGTCAAATGCTCATGAAATGTCCTAAATCATGCATATGATATAAGAAAATGAATTTGCTTTCTAAATAAAAATATTTTATTAAATAATTTCCTGTGGTTTGTTTCCTTCTTTGCATGTGATCACCAATTTTTTTCAACACATTTTCATTAAAAAAAAACAGCATTATTTTTTTCACAACTTCTAAGTATTGATACTGTGTTTGAAAACAACTATTAGAATCCTCATGCATTTCCCACAATAATATTTACAACATCATGGATTTTAGACATGGATTCTAAAAGTTATGGACTCTTTTGTAAGGTCACTAGAAATCTTAAGTAAAACATGCAAAATTCAAGGAATGTAAAGAGTTAAACACTCCACGCTGATGGAACATCAAACATTCAATGTTAATGCAGACTAAATTAGGAGGAATAAATTTTCAGGATATATAAATCAAAATAACAGCAATGAGAATGGTCTATTGGTCAGGCAATAAGAAACCACAAGGAATATGCACCAACACATCACTATCTGTATAAGAAACTGACTGACACCTCTCACATCAGACTGACATCTATCAACACATCACATTACCTGGGAGCAAGGTTCCCCCATTTCTGACAGACATGCATATAGGTCAAACAGAAATTTACAACCACTTCAAAGATAAAATGAAAACCCCTCACTCGGAGAGAATCAAGTGGATGAAGCTTTTCAACACAAATGATAGGATAAATAACTTATCTGCCTTCTTTATAACACGACACCCACATGAGAAAGACTTCAAGCAATTCAAAGACTAAATGTGCATTCAGGATATATCTTAACAGAAACAGAGCAACACTTATTTATGGAATGTAAAATAATAAAACAGCTAAAGCCACCCAAACATTACTCTTACAAGAAGGAACAAACCACCCAATAAATATAGACGAATCGATTTCATTAAAAACTATCCCAAACCTAAATGCAATCAGCCTCGGACTGTTGGATGAATATAGACAACACATTTGACAGTGTAGGCAAAAAGCAAAATTTTAAAAATGTGTACACAGAAAAACTTCTAGACATAATCTTAAGAGCAAAAATACAAACCCTTATAGAACAAATCTAAAAGCCAAGGTCCTGTTAAATTAAAATTAACTTAAAACATTAGCTTAAATGTTATAAGTAATTCAGTCATATTCTGCGAAAACCCCAATCCCGGCTGGCCAGTGTAAATATTTGTAGATGTATGCCGATATGTAAATAATACGACAAGAATGACTCTGGACAGTGTCTACACAAATTTTTTTTTTTTTTGCAGAGTGGAGACTGCAAAGCCAGGAAGGCAAAAACGAAAAATCTAAGGGAGGAAAGCCATCATCTTGTTTTCATTTTTTTTTATCCCATTAGTTTTCTCATCATTTCACACGATGCCACTCAACTTCCAAATCATTTTCATATTTTTCAATCCACGGGCCATCACACATTCCATCTTGCTTATTAACACTTTTAAGTCAGCTTGTGGTAAAACTGTTACTGTCGATGTAACAAACATTTTCTTTTAAAAAAATAAGAAAATAATTATTATGTTCCATTTTAAAAAAAATATATGTAAAATTAAAAGTCCAAACAAAAGGAGGGCGGAAGTTGATAATATGATTTATAAGTTTCCACCACCAGCCGTTTTGTTTTTAAAAAAAAACATGAACTTTAGACATGGATTGTAAAAGATATTGACTCTTTTTGTAAGGTAACTAGAAAGAAATGAAAAATTTTGAAATAAAGGAATTTCTGCTAAAGAATAGTTTTCAAATTGTGAAATTACTTTGTTTTTGTCAACGACCTTGTTTTGCTGCCATTATTTCCCTCCATTCACAAAGTTCAGAGAACTTACAAAAATGACACTTCCAACAATCTTCAACTTCTACTCCTCTAGTACCTCTCTGGCCATTCCACCACTGTTGTTGCTCAGTGAACACTTTTTGGATATAATTTGTGTCCAGTGCTGTGTCTACAGTGGAGATTACAGCCTTTGTGTCCTGATGAATATACTCAATTTTAACTTCTTTTATACAAATCATGGACTGCACCTGAAACAAAAATAGTTAGCTTAAATAATAGTACAAATTGTATATGCCGATATATAAATATATTTTAATTGATATATAAATTTATTTTTAATTGGAACTTGGGTATGAATGCAATTTAAAATGTTTAAAATTCAATTATAAAATAATTTCTGGTGGTAGAACGCCGGTTAATAGAAAAATATATCAGAACATGTAAATAACTAGTATATAATAAAAATTAATATTGGTGACAAACCTGATTCAGTACTGTATCTACCACACTTCCAAGTGAGCAGTTGGCAGATCTGAAATTAGTTCCTAAACCGTTTATATGACTTTTTAGTCCTTGGCTTAGTTGGGTTTCCATATTTAGTTGCAGATGAATTGCCATTAAGTCTTTGTTCATTTTACCCTGAACAAGCTCATTAAAAAGCTGAGCATACAGCCCTACCTAATGGGGAAAATAATATTAGATGAAACAAAGTGAGAAAGGAAAAAAAAAAAAGATCAACCCCTTAAAATATGTTTAATATTATTGCCTTTTAAAATCATAAATATGTATTAGTAATCTAAAACTTTAATTAATGCTCAACTTTATAAGTTTAAATACTTAATTAGTGGCATATCTGAAATTTATAAAGTTACAAACACAGGCAAGACTTTATATCATATAAAGGAAGATATTTCATGATTATTTGCTAATGAGAAGATCTGTCTGCTGAGTGACCCATGCAATAATTGTTATGAAAACTCCAGCATTAATCAATGTGGAAAAGTTAGAAGTGTTCAACCACTTTGCCCCTGACACGTCCAAAAGTATTCCCTCTGTCTCAAAAATTGTCTTGGAGAGTTCACCAGTTTAAGCCTAGGCAATAACTACAGTTTTAAAATATTACATTACACCATAGAAAGTAAGAAAAAAATAATGATTTGTATGCACCTCTGCCCTTATAAATAAAAGCTATTCAAAAAAATACATGAAGAAATTTTCTTTTGCAATTCAATATTTGCTAACCTGAAACTCATCCTTCTCTTGCTGTCCTTTTTTAGGTGGATGGCATGATTTTCTTGTTTTCAGTTCAGATATTGCAATGGTGTACTGCTGGAGATCAAACTGCAACTCATCAATAATGCCAAAGATGAAAATATCGCCTCCAAAAGGCATTCCAAACACAGGAATTTCCCTGGCTAATTTACATCCTTTATGAAAAGCCATCACAGCAAACTGCAGGTTTAAGAGTTTTACTGCCCATTCATCTTCTTTTGATTCAACTTTGACAGGCACAGGAACTTGAATCTCCATTTCTACAGATGCAAATAGATTTTTAATGTTTTAATGGTTTAAAAAAAACAACACTTTTCACATATAATGTTACAAGTAGGTGTAAAAACTGGTTCACTTTCTAAATGCTTTTATATGAAGTGAGATCAAATGTTTACGGAGGAAAGAGAAGCCGGCCCACTTCACTCAGGCGCCAATCATAGAGGTGATGTGTAGAAATGAATTTCTATAGCAAAGAATCTTCATACCTCGAGCTAGGTGGATGTCTGAGCCCTTTTCTTTAGTTTCTGATTGTTCAGGTGTCTCTTTCAAGTTAACTTTCATCTCTGGTAAAGCTCGAATCAGATAAACCTCTGGTGAGAGGTCATATAGCAGCTGCTGTTCACACCTGCAGAATAATGAGTGAATGAGATTGTCAGTCAATTAAAGATAATATGTATCAGCTGTTTTCAATCTTTTTCATCTTATAAAGAAATAAAGATACAAGAACTTATTGAAATTTTGCACACAAAAATATAGCCCGTTTGGATTAGGTGCAGCGTTAATGGAAATTATTAGTTTGGATTAAATGGATAATTTCATGTCTTATTTTAGCTAAAATGACAACCAATTTTGTCACAGATATGAATATAAGGGAGATAAGTAATATGGGATTTATTACTTATGTAATATACAAAGTATTGGGACTTAGGAAAAACTGGCCAATCAGGGAAAGAGCAAGAAGGAAACAAGAAATGACGACAGTTGATTCACAATCTTTATATAAGAAGATTTGATCATAGTGTGTTAACACTTTATCAAGTAAAGAAGTTTACTGAGAAGCTGGTTTTGAAATACATTATGATACATTCCAAATGTTCGGCATGAGTATTTACTCATATTTCAAGTATTTAACTATTATTTTGTGATCGTGTGTAATAAAGTATTAGTCACTATTATTAATCATTTGAACCACTACGCCTCTGTTTTGATTTACAAGACATTGTGATTGTGACAAATATGATAGCCTTATTACTTCATATTGCCATGATCCATACCTGCTATGCCACTCTATAGAATCCCATGTAGTTATATTTTCCCAGTTACAGCCACGACAAAGCAAACATATTTAAGCCAAGTTAATTTCAGTATTACCTGCTATTGTGGGAATTCAACGTCTGATATTAAACACCGCATAAACCGACCAATCAAGAAAGGTAGGAACATAACACAAACTAAACATCCTTCACTTGAAGAGCTATTCGAAGAAAGATTTTATTGTAAAACTAAACACATTTTGGATGATACATCCCACCCTCTTCATCACAGATACTAAGGATCGGCCTGTTCAGGATGAATTCTTTCCGTCAGGGCGAGGACTGAAAGATATGAAAATTCTTTAGTTCCCCAATTTGTACGAATTTACCAGCTCCCCCTAATGTCACAAATCTTAGGATAACTAATAAGTCCCTGATGTGGCTAAGAGAACTCAATGAATGGCTGTTTTTTTTTTTAAACTAGCGAAATAAAATACTTTATTATAAATGTCTTGTCTTCAAATTGTTTTATTTATGTGCTGAAAATGTACAATGCAATCAGAAAACATTTCCGTTTGTTTGGATCAATAAAAGAATCTTATCTTATATCACAAACCTCTTATATTTGTGTAAAAATCCCCCCCCCCCCCCCCCCCAAAACACCCTCATTTTTATTAAAAAATAATACTCCAATCAAAAAAAAATTAAAAAAAAATAAAAAAAAAAAAAAATATCACAAACCTCTTAAATTTGTGTAAAAATCCCCCACCCCCCCCCAAACCAAATCTAGCTTATTCTAGATATTAAGTCATCTCATGATGCACAAGTAATTAAATAGATACTTAAAAAGAATAAATTGTCACTTCATCCTTGCATAGAATCTAAGCCTGTAGTCAACAGTAGCATGAACTTATGCTATTTATCATGCTCATGGGGTTTAAGACATACCAGATGACAAGGAAAAAAATCAAACAAAAAACATCAAAAGAGTAGGTTACATCATATCAGAATGATTATATCACAGAAGGAAACAAATATTGACCTATGGATAAAAAAGACCGCAATGTCTGGCAAGTCTAGGAAACTCCAAATCTCTGTTGCAGAATAAATTAGTTAAAATACCATTAAAAAAAACAACTAAGATTTAATCAAAAGAATCTGCAGGTAAAAAAAAAAAGCCTTTTTATATATTTATATATATATATTTAAATTTAAAGGCAGATAAGAAGAAGAATCTGCACACAAAAAAAAATGCTTGAAGCTGATCTGCAAATGTCTGATTGTAAATTATCTGTCAATCAAAAGATAATACTGTCAACTATTATTTTATAATTGGGCAATGACAAAAAATTTACCAATGCTGCTTGGCCAAATCAGAGACTGTGAGATATTTAGGTCTATAACGATGTCTTGGTGTTCCCTGTGTTTCCAATATTTTATCACAATCCATGGAGAATATAGAACTTTGCTCCAATGTTTTAAGGTCATCATATTTTGAACAATCTGAAAATTATTAAATCACATGGATCACATTAAATCCAAATTTAAAAGAAATAATGATGCAAACATGCTGCTTACGTGCTTTCCTGAGTAGGTCCTGTAACTAAAAGTTTAATATCACTTTGTTTACTTGAATCTGAGTATGAAGATTTGCAGTAAAATTCATACATTTTCAATAGACATGTTGCTTAAGAAGCCATATCTGGATCAAATGTTTCAGGAAAATGAGACTGATGGATAGTGAAAGTGATAAAATTGGCAATAATCGTTAGGCCAGTGTTGGGTAGTGGGAGCAGCACACTAAATATAACATGATTGGTAAAGGAAAATCTAAGCAGCTTCGGAATAAAAATGAAAAAGCTATACAGTTGTAAACAGCATACCACCAACAGCTAGCTTTAGTAGTAGTATTATGAATTTTTTCAGATGTGAGTTCATTTGTCCTTGTTACCTGTTTTTGTTGTATGGACTGCATCACCTCATTGCGTGGCCCTGTTCTGGTGTTTTCAATTTTAAATATGGCTGCTACTTTATTACAGAAAGGTGAAGAAATCAAGTGAATAGCCTCTGAGCTCTGGTAAAAATTTCATACCAGACATATATTTTGCTTCTGGTATGTCCTGCTTCCTCTTCAAAAGCGGCTCCTCCAGAACTCCACAATTTATATTAATAGAACTAAGTGAAAAAAAAAGGGCTGTCATGCGTGACGTGTGAACTCGGGTAAAAAAAAATTCTTTAGGGGGAGGCGACTACTGTGTAGGGCAGTCTGAAGGAATATTCTTTTTAAAGGACTGGCAGGTAGGGTGTAGGACTCACTGGAGGCCTACTGTTTAAAGGCAGATAGAAAATGACTTCATGGGTATTTTCTCAAAATACCCAGACCCAGTGTGAAAAAAAACAAAAAAAACTGCACCCGGTTAGGCAATAGTATAATTATATCTTTACAATAATTTACATACACGCGAATATAACAATTAATTCTGATAAACAAAACATTTGGCTGGGTGAAAAATTTAGTGTGTATGTGTTTCTCATATATGAGGGAAACCCCATTTATAATTGATAAGATATTTTTATATTTTAAAAATTAAGTTGTGATATGACTATGGTGTTTTGTCAGTGAAAGGGGGCAAACAGAAATTTTCTATTTTATTGCACATGTGCATTGGCACAAAAAAAAAAGCACTTGTAAGCTTAGAGAAACAGGCGGTCCGTCAAGCCTTTTACTGTGCCCCCCCCCCCCCCCACCCCTCTTTTTAAACGGCAATTTTTAAATTCATTGTATTAATGTAAATACATTTTCAGAATATTTGAACTGTTTAGTTGAATTGAATTCCTTAAACGAAATTAAAGAAAACTGTTGCGCATTGGCTGGACCACTGTGATAAGAAAACTATAGCCTACTATCCATCATTAAGTCATACCATAATATAGGCATAGGCCTATACTAATACAATGCCATATTATGTGAATTCATTAAATATATTGGATATTGGGCAAATTAATTGTGCCTACATCTGCTCTGTTAGGGGCCAACATAGCGGCCACCAACATAGGGTCTAGGGTCTATTTGACGTATACTGTGTTACTAATATATCTAGTCAATCCTCCTAGACATAACATATTTTCTGGTATATCATATTAAATATTAATTATACTAGTAATAAAAATATGTAGCCTAAGTGAGACTGGTACCATGGTCTCTGAAGTGTCCCTTGCCTTGTAAGGGAGTGGGGAGTCAGTTGCATGTTTCAATTTTTCATGAAGACTTACATTTACCCAATTTAGAGAAGTCATAAAATGATGTCAAAGCTTGATAGGGTATAGTTTTGTTTCTTTTAAGCACTCTGATATTTCACCTGGTCCAGAAATTTTCTGTCTGAAATAGTTGCAGGGCCATGCCATGCTAGAGTGTTATGATGCAGAGAGGTGGCTGCCTGATTAGCCATGTTAAGAGATGGGGAGGGGCAGTGGCATATAGGCGTAAAGGACAGTGTCCCTGTCATAGATCTTATTATATGTATAGCGAAAGACACGAGACTTGTAGCTGCGGGGGGAAACAGACTGTTCTAGTTAGTACAACTTTATATTAGATAAGAAAGAGGTTTTAACAACGAAGTGTCTACACGTCCGGCTCGCCGGACAAATAGTGCGGGAGAATTGGAGAAACGACGACGACAATCCAGGCTCTCCATGATGTACAAGATAAATAATGGGCTGGTCCACTGTTCCAGCGACGAGGCCATGACAGGCAATTCAGGCTCATACCAGCAAGAAGCCAGTATAGGAGCTGCTCATTCCTGCCCAAGACAATCAGGGACTAGAACAATCTTTCAAAAGGAACGGTTGAGGCGACAACACTAGACACATTTGTGTCTATTGCCTCAAGCCTTCAAACCCCCAGTGCATGATTCCCTCACAAAGTGGCACTGGAAATCTGTGAAATTTCCTCATCAACACCAGGAACAGAAACATTGCAAATCCCATCTACATGCATAGGAGCCAAAATGATCAATAAATTGATCGTGGGCCCTTAAGATATAGAAGAAGAAGAAGAAGAAGATATACGTCCGGCGGGCATGTCAAGTGACCGCAGGACGACTGGAAGGCATTATTATTCCAGCAGGTCATGTGACGAGTGGTCGCCGGCAAAATCGTTGCATTGCATTTGATATTCCGATCCCTAGATAATAAATAAATGCTGAACATGTTAATATATTCAAATGCTCTGAGATACATTAATTGTTTGACTTTGAATATTAAACTAGTCAGCCTACATACTAACTAGTGGTACTATTACTACTACTATTACTAGTCTATTTGATTCCGACTCTTCAAAGAAAAAAGTCCTTTATCTGGTTAAACATCTTGAAAGCTCTACCTTGAAGCCTAAATTTAAAATATGAAAAAAATAAAATAAGACCAGTAGACTTCAATAGACCTATGTCAATAAAGTTGTATTTCAGGATTAGTATTGCATGAGAAGTAGGCTAGGCTACCACTATATCGACCCTATATTAAGATGTAGGGTCTATTTCTTTGTGAACTATCTGCCTCCCCCGCCTTAAACTTTTTTATTTATCACCCTTACTATTATTTTTTAAGCATTCTTATTTTTTTATACCGTAATTCTCTCTCCCTCTCAGCATTGCTTCCTTCTAGATTAGAATGCATTATTGCTTAACCCCCACTTTGTTTTGATAATATACAGAAGTATTTTTTTTCTATTATTTGTTTGCAGGATACTTGGTAGAGAAATAGATTTTAAAATTAACAATAGTCTTGAATCATTCACAGTCACGTGACAAGGCTGACGGACAATTATCTCAATCACTTTGTTACGGCGGTAATGTGACTTGGTCGCTGGACAAATAGTGCGGGACATATATGTCAGACGTGTAGACACTACCTTTTAACAGTACAATGGCTGGGAGAACAGCCAAATATCCTCAATTTAAATCCTAGACAAGATACTACTAGAGAAATTTAATTTGTTGTGTTGTATTTGTATTATGTTGTAAAATATGTAGTAATGTAGTATGAATAAATAAGTATTCCCTGCAAAATTATTGTTTTCGTTTATGATATGCCTCAGAGTTTAAATTAAATTACAAAAGTGAAGGTAAATTTAAAAAGATTTCTAGATCTCAAAATTGTTAAAAAGAGAAATGAGAATATTTCAATAAACAGTTAAAACAGACAGTGACAGTTTTCAGCGGAGGCCCCCTCTTTACTCTGGAGGGTATCCCCCCACCCCCTCCAAAACCTCCTTGGGTGTGTCCAGTTTTTTCCAGTTCAGTTCATGATTTGGTCACCCTGCCCTATCCTAGTAACTACTTGTAAGTGTAAGAAGTAAGAGTGTAAGTGTAAGAGTCGGTAATCTACCACTTGAGCATCGGCCAAGAAAAAATCCAGTTGTTCCGGTTGGAAGGGCTATTTAAACAACTATTCTTACATTTGAGTCTGTTAATATTTTTGCTTCCGTATAGAGGCTATAAAGTTGTATAGCACAATACATTTAAATAATGATTACTGCCAAGCTACCGATATGCCAGGAAGAAAAAGAGACAACAATAATTTTTTTGATCCAGATGACGCGGATGTCCACACGCAGAATGTGGAAAACGTGAATGCTCAGAAAGCATAAACTGAAAAGACAGTTTGGCACAAGAAGCGCCGGTGATCTTTCCCCTTCATATTTACGGAGATTCATGTACCACAACCATTTTCGTGGAAATTATATTTTTTCAAACTTTATCGTCAACTTGGGGGAGACTATACTAGATACTTCGATAAAACAAGGGAGACTACTACTTTTTTTGTATCGGAAATGGGCGTCGGCGCCGAAAAATCCGAGTTTTTAATTTTCCGATGTGTGTGTCTATTTATTATTAAATTAGTTCTTTGGACATATATTTGAGTTCCGTTTCCGGCCTTATAATTTGGAAGACATCTTGGCCTACATTTCCATCCAACTATTTTGCTTTTTCAATCGACCTTTATTTTGGAAATCTTTGGTATATATAAGGCATCTTCGCATGCAAAATTTTTTGTGAAATATAAAATACAGGTCTTTCATATTAAATCGTGTAAGGCATCAGATATTGATATATATCTGTGCCAATTCTCATTGATGTAGGTCGTGTCCCACGTTCGCTACGCTTCTCCCAGTGACCCATATCACCATAAGGGGGCTCCGCCTTATTTCGACATGGCGTGGGCCACGCCCCCTTTTTAATGGCGGAAGTTGCCGATACTTAAGAAATATTTAATTATTACCACTATATACATCAAAATATTTGATAACTTGTGTTTCAGAATGCATTTTGAAGACATTTAAACTGGAATGTTTTAATTTGAGCTTTAAAAACTCTGTAGAGTCCATATTATAAATGATCAGAAATTTCCGTGTGCAACACGTTGTCATTGGCAACCATTCACAGCCACTTGCATAACGGCTATATCGTAGTACTATCTCAGAGTTTCATTCATAAGTGTTTGCCGTGTGCAAAAACTATTAAACCATTGGTCAGGGAAAGCTTTAATTAATTATTCATGTGCCAAAGTTGAAAGTTTAAAATAAATCGACCCTAAACAGTATTTTAGTGATAAGGGAATGCCTTAGCCTTATATAAACTATATAGTCATTGCGCATGACGCGATCAGCGGAATGAGGTCACAGAATGTGGAGATGCAGTCCATGTTAAAAAAGGACAAACCAAGTCGTACTTTAAAAATTCATAACTTTAAAACTACAACAGCTAAAAATGTGATTTTGGTGTTATAATTCTGTTTAAAATTAGCTCTATTAAACTGTGCCATTGGTTTATTTTTTAAAAAATGTTTACATTTTTTACCAAAGTATCTAGACTATACATAATTCCATTTTCACACATTATCTTCTATTTTAAAAAAAAATGTCTATTATTATGGGAATGAATACCTACAACCAATGTCATTAAAAATAATATAAGAATAGTTGTTTAAATAGCCCTTCCAACCGGAACAGCTGGATTTTTTTCTCGGCCGACGCTCAAATGGTAGATTACCTAAGAGTCTTAGTTTAAGTTTAGTAGTAAGAGTAGAGTAGTCAGTCAGTAAGTAAGTAACGAACTTAGTTTACTTAGTAACGGTAAAAGTAAAGTTTTTGATTACCAGCCAGCTCTTGTTCGTCAGCTTCACTCCACATGTCAAATATTTCATCCATGTACATATATATTATTTGCTACATGGGTTACCCAGGCCCAGGGCTGCAACATTAAAAACATACAGACAAATTCGGATTTATTTGTTACAGGAGCGACAAGTGAGCTAACAGCATGCATGGGAAGTGGCCCGAGGCTGCTTTACGCCTTTAAAATATTATTTGGGGCACTGATACGGAGAATGATTTTTATAAAAAATCTGTTTTCTTCTATTTTTACGACAATAAAAAATCTGAGCTAGTTGTTTATTGTAACTAAATATTAGAACAAGATATGTTTGGGCTTGAAAAAGAAAATGAGGACAGTTACATGGAACGCTTCGGCTAAACTTATATTACTTATTATTTAGTGTAGTCGTAAAAATTCAATTCATTCTAAATAAAAATAGGCTCACAAAGCAAGAATAGTTTTCCTTTTAGAATGTGTTCATGTCTAAAAGCGCAACAATCATTAGAAGCCTTTTTTACCATTCCAAAGCCAAAGTCCACAAGAGAGTCTGGTCTTTGCACATTGATCCAGCAAAAGACTGTTCTTGGGCGTAAAATGTTAAGATTTCACTGAAGCTATTTCTGTGTTGTATATGATCATCGTATTGACTGTTGAAGGTTTTTACCTGATCAAAATCAGCTTCGTAGTACATGACATGTACAATGGGCTTCAATGGGACGGGAGTGGTTGGATTAAAATTTCAGTGATCTCTTTCTCTGTCTGCTTCTGCTGAGCGGGTAGGCGTCGTGGAAAGGTACAATGATATTATGAAGTCCGCTGAAGATTCATGTTGGTGACTTGGGGTTGAGAGCTCCCTTAACAATATTGATTTAGAATCACGGTCTTTTTCATGTAATCTTATCATATCGGATATTGTTAATCATTTATGGGACATTTAAATTAAAAAATGTAAGTATAATTAGTGTAAATAGATTTTATATTTATACTATGGATATCTTTTTTTAAATTATTGATCATCGTCGATAAGGAATAAGGGCATTCAAGAGGCCGTCCATTAAATACATGAACTTAATAGTTGGGGGAGGTGGGGGGGGATCATGGGTGCCCGCAGAAAACTTTCCAGGGGGGGGGGGGCAAAAAAAATCGATAAACTTTCCAAAAAAATTTTTAGAAATGTTTTAATATAGTTTTAATTTACTGTAGCGTATTTGTATGGTGAACGAATGGACAGGACATCAGCTTAGTTACTTTCTCTTTATTTTCTCTTTACTTTAATAAAATTTAGGGGGGGGTGGCACGTGCCCCCCCTTGCCACTACCCGCGGGCGCCCATGGGGGATATATATATATATATATATATTTATATATATATATATATATCAATGTTCCCTTTAAGCTGCGCGACCGCGCAGCTAACACACAGACACCGCTCAGCAGTTTTGAGTATCCGCGCAGCAAATTTCCATGTAAGTGTGTGTTTGTGGGCTGTAAAATTTTGCACACAGAAAAATTGATGCTGTAAAACTTTGCACACAACTGTATGATTTTGCACACGAACCAACAAACCTTAGAGGGAACATTGATATACCAGTATATGTGTGTGTGTGTGTGTGAGAGAGAGTCAGATTGAAACTGATAATGCGTAGAAATTAACACCTGCTCTTAAAAAGTGGGGGAAAATGCTGCAGCTACTTGGAGTAGCTGCTAAAAGAAAGAGAGAGTTAAAAACGAATTATTGAACCATTGAACAAAGAGAAAATGCTTATATTTTTTAAGCCCAGAATGGTTAGACTAGACGAGGATGTAATATTAACATTGAAATAATAAATAAGCTGCTATTATGTGCTATTGCAATTTTAGCAATATTTGGCTTGTCAACGTTGTCAGCGTAAAGATTTTAAAAAATGAAAGAAAAAAAAATATTAATAAATTTCCTAACAATAATAGTTAGTAAATTTAATATCACTGCTTTAAATTCTGCTGTAAAGACTAGTCTTCTTCGTCTTCTGGTTGACAAGCCTGTGGTGGCTTGCCGATTAGAAGGCGTCGGCCCTCGACGTTACCCGGGGGACAAGACCATCATTGCTTGTCCCACGTCGGAAGTCAAGGGCATTCAAGGTACCTGCTGGAATAAAAACAGCACCTGCAGGGCTGCCTACTGTGAAGTTTTACAGTTGGGAGTAAAGGCATAGACAGGGTATCATGATTATAAGTTCCCGCTAATGGATATGAGGCGAGAGGCTAAGGTGAAAGCCTCTGACCAATGATTCTAAATACGCAGCCCTGAGAAAGCTGTTCCTAGGCAACCGTTTCGTCCCAGCTGTTTCGCAAACTAGTTGCGGGGTGGAAACCCACTGTAGAACCCCTCTTAAAGGGCATCCGTCACTTCCCCGGGATGGGTGGGGGAAGATATTGGGACGTTAAAACATGCATGGACTGCGGGAAAGCCGCCATCCGCAAATCCGATCGAGCTGTTGCGGGTGGAGGCGGTCCGGGGAGGTCCCTGGCATGCCGCCGCACGGCCTGGCGTCGGGGAGACCCGATGCCTGGGCTCTGTGGAGGTACGTTGGGGAGGGCTTTAAGAGCTCACGCTCGACGGCCCACTGACGCCATTTTCCAATTGCCAATGTGACATATTTAGTTCTTCTCCGAAGATTTTTATATCTTAAGTCTTAAGCGTTAAAAAATATTTGTATTTATATTTTTCTTGGAGGAGAGATAATTAATGGACGGGCCTTAAGTATGTTTTCTGCTTGTATACTGCCAGTTCATATGCCATTTGATCATTTAACATAGTCTATGACATAACTAAGGAACATACTTACAATATTAATTTATTTATTTCAAGCAGTATTTTAAATTTTAGAAGAAAAGTTAACCTTTCATTATTTTTAATTATGTTTTTTTTAAGCGAAATGTTTTAAAAACGTCATCCTGAGAAGATTAAGATTGTCAAGGCCAAGGTGTCTGATACTCTAAATATAATAATTAAAATAACAATTATCAAATGACGCAAAATGGTTTGTGGATAATAAAGACAAGGAAGTACTTATTTAATGGTAACTCGAAAAAAAACGTGCAATTATAATAGTGTCTAAGGTGAAACAAAAATATGATTCGTTTTAAATCTTACTCTCACTTATGATAAGTAATAATACTACTACTAATACTTTAAGTTTAAGTTAAGTTAGTAACTAGTAAACTAGACCAGTTAAAGTGAAGACAGTGACAGCTATATAATAAAACGAAGTGGCTATTCGGACCCGGGTATCAGAAGTGAGAGATTAGGATTTTTAAAAAAAATATTATAAAATGTATAAATAGGGCCTATTATTGTTGGGTTTGTAACACAAAATTTGTTATCAAATGAAAGATAATTAAATGGACTAAATTATATTAGTTTGTAACTTACTAAACTTAGTTGACTCAAATAAACGACGACAAATGACATTCGAATAGCATTTTCATTCATTTAGTTTAAGTTTTAGTCTTAAACTTAAAATGACACGGGTATGCAGTGGCAGTATGCATAGCCGCTATCCGGACCCAGGTCCCTTTAGACTAGGGTGACCAAACTCCTGTAGTCCTGTAAAAACGGAATTGTCCCGTACTTTCATGATAATAGCTGGTGTCCCGAAAAAGTATTGCAGGATGCCTCAATGTCCCGTTTCTAAAACCAAACAGGGCCAATTTGGAGAGATAGCACCTTGATGTCATTTGTATGTCCTTTCCCTGGTTCCGATAGGGTCAAAACCCTGGTTCCGTTAGGGTCCAAACCCTGATTCCAATAGGGTCAAAACACAGGTTAGGGATAAGTTTAGGGTTCCGGTTAGGTTTAGGGATAGATTTAGGGTTCAGGTTAGGCATAGGGATACATTTAGGGCATAAATTCGTGGGTCGCAGCAACCAAGATGGTGGCCACTGTGCTATCTCTCCAAATTTACCCCAAACACATTTTCACATATTTAAAAAGGAGATTTTAACGATGGCTGGGACAACAGCCAAATATCCTCAATTTAAATTTTAGACGAGAGAAATTTAATATTAATATGTTGTGTTGTATTGTGTTGTCGAATATGTATAATTTTTGTTTTTGTTTATCATATGCTTCAGGGTTTAAATTAAATTACAAAAGTGAAGGTAATTTAAAACGATTTCTAGGTCTCAAAATAGTTAAAATGAGCATATTTCAATAAAAAGTTTCCGGCGGAGGCACCCGGACCCCTCTTTAGCTGGAGGGTATCCCCAACCCATCCCCACCAACCCTCCTTGGGTGTGTCCCGTTTTTTCCAGTTCATGATTTGGTCACCCTACTTTAGACTAAATGCTATTTGGATGTCATTTGTGGTAGTTTATTTAGTTAAACTGAAGAAGTAAGTTTACAAACATATAGCCCATTCAATTATCTTTCATTTGATAGCAAATTTTGTCTTACAAACCCAACAATAATATTTTTAATATCTTTTATTAAACCCGGGTCAGAACAGGCGCAGCCATAATAAAATATTTAGATAGAGTCAGAGGCCTAGATAAATATTAAATAATTAAAAAATAAAAATATAGGCCTATTTTATATGACTGTATGGTAAATCCTTAAAAAAAAAAAAGAACGCAACAAGATTTATTCAGGTTGTACCCTACCATTTCATATATAATAATTAATAATTTAAAATATATTATATATTTATTTCATTCTAATCTACCTTTGGTCAGTATAGTATAAAAAGGGCAGGGGGGGGCGGCGATTGCAATCAGGAATAGGCTATACTTATACGGTATAGTATCCTGATTTCAGTCATCACCCCCACCTTTTATTACATAATTAGATTGATTAAATAGATAATTACTAATACTAGTAATTAGAAGTTACAGTAATTAGAGAAGTTCAATATATAGAGTAGAGTTGTTTTTTTCTAATGTAGTGATAGTATAGACTGGACTGTAACTGTAGTCTGTACAAAATTTACATTTATAATTTTTATAGATAGATGGTAGATATTAGATAAGTTCAATGTAAAAAATATGTGTGGTTATGTAAATTGTGTGATATATAACTTAAAGTCACTTATAATTATAACATAATAATAATTACAATAAAATATTGATTGTTTAGTTAAAGATTAGTGCGTTGGTATAGTAGGATTATAGAAAACCTTTACCATTGGGTATTAATAGATATTTAAAAGTAAAAGACTGCATCACTAGTTATCAATAGTATCTTGGGGGGAGGTAAAAACTTCGTAACGTCACAATTTAACAATTAAAAAAAAAAATCTAAAATTTTCTAATTTTGAGAAATCTTTATTCTATTAATTAAAAAAAAATTAATTTGCGGTCGAAATTGCCTCAGGTATTATAGGTAACGCGTACTTCAGTTGCACACACCTTTGGCGCAAAAACTGTTGTGGCCATTTTACATTCGGCGCGGGGATGACATCGTTGTTTCGCGTCACAGATTTCTAATAATACTACATTTTAATCCATTATCATTATGGGAAAATGCTAAAGAATAAAATAAAATCTTAGTTATGAAAATTTTATGTATGTTTTGATTTTTTTCGGTGTAACGTGGCACTAAAAGGGGTGGGGGGGGGGGAAGAGGTAAAGACACTTTGTGACAGGGCAGAGGGAGGGTTTAAAAAGGTCATTTGCGTGACGTAATTCGCGAACGACCCCTTGAAGTACCCAGTATCTTCTAAAAGACCATCCATAAATGACGGCACGCAAATTTAGCAGATTTTCAACCCCTTCTTCCCCATCATCACAAATCCTCACCAAAAGTTAGCCCCCCCACCTCAAATATAGCATCACAAATCTCTGCACCCTTCCACCACTATAAAAAATCCCTCTGTCCACTACTGTTCTTTACTTTACAAAATCTTAAGAAATTCACCTCCCATAGATAAATTAATGCACCTGAGTCAGAAACATTTCCCTAGAACAGTGGTTCTCAACCAGGGGTAAAAGCATACCCTCAGCCCTGAGGTGTGGAAGACCCAGAAAATTGTATTTTCTGCCATTGCTAGTTGCCTTTTAAAAAAAAAAAAAGTTTTTATGCATTTTGATTAGCAGCAGTAAATGTTAACTGGTGAATTTTGTTTGCAAATTACTTGTATTGGTTTTTAAAACTTTTTTATAGAAAGTTATTTAAAGAAATAAAACTATGATAACTAAATTATTTAATTATTTTCAAATTTTTAATTTCATTATAATATAATTTATACGGTTGGAGGAGATGTTAAAAGCTGAATGGGGCTGCAGCGCTGCAAGAAGGCTAAGAATCCCTGCCCTGGAGTATTTACTAAGATCACCCCCCAATTATTTTCATTCTATCCCACTTCACTTAGTAGTCCTAATTCTATGACTCCCATCTCCACATTTCGACATAAATTCTCACGACTTTCAGTGTCACTGCACCCATATTCTCTTTCTCCATGGTAGCCTGTAACTTGATCAGAGGCCATTTTTTTGGACCTCACATACCTATGCTGATTCGTGGATCATAGATTAAATATAAAACAATTATAATTTTATCAAAGAATAATGTAAAAAATGTCTGTAATTTAGTGTTATTAAGTGCATTTTTTTCACTATAATTTTCCACTGTTAATTTGATGGCACATTGTAAACACCCCCCCCCCCCCCCCCCCCCCCCCCCCNNCCCCCCCAATCACACATTGTTACAAAAATGTACCCCTGACTCCCCGAAGATGCTTTATGTCATTTAAGGATGGCTGCTAATTCTATTTCTAAAACAATAATAAGTCTAAAATTAAATTAATATAAACATAAATTAAGATTGCATATGCCATTAGACTAATATAAAAGAGCTATTTAAAAAAAAATGTTTGTATGGTTAAAACTATTTTTACCTGATGAGTTACTATATGTCAACTTGTCTAGGCTAAATAATATATTAACATGATAAATATTCAATATAGGCCTTCAAACTTTGCAATATTTATTTTACATTAATTTATCATACAGGGTTAGTTAATGCCCTCTGCTGGCCTTAGATTGGACTAGTATTTTGAAAATGTCCAGGAAGCTAAAGTTAACAGATTCCCTTTGGCTTGGAATAGACATTGGCACCTCCTCTGTAAAAGCAGTGCTCATAAATTTTGATGGAGACACTATTTTATCAAAATCTCTCCCTACCATGTCGGAAGTCAAAAGTGGCATTGGATGTTCTGGGTATGAGCAAAATCCACAAAAATGTCTCAAGACAGTTCATGATTTGGTTTTGCCTTTAATTGAAAAAGAAAAACACAGAATTAATGGTAATGTCTTTTATTAGCCTTATTTTAATTTATGTTTTATTATGATAATCTTCCATTACTGTCTGCTTTTCTTGAAAATTCTATACAGGCTGTTTACTATTTCTATTCCCAATTTTGAGACTTAAATGTTATTGTACTGGTGTGATTTAAAATTATAAAATATATGTGATACATTAAAAAAGTGTGCCATTGCCTTGTCCAAATTTAATCCTCTGTTTTCAATGTCCTAATTTAACCCTCTGTTTTCAATGTCCTAATTTAACCCTTTGTTTTCAATGTCCCAATTTAACCCTCTGTTTTCAATGTCCTAACTTAACCCTCTGTTTTCAGTGTCCTAATTCAACCCACTGTTTTCAAAGTCCTAATTTAACCCTTTGTTTTCAATGTCCCAATTTAACCCTCTGTTTTCAATGTCCTAACTTAACCCTCTGTTTTCAGTGTCCTAATTCAACCCACTGTTTTCAAAGGCCAATGTCTAAAAGCTAAGGCACAAAATCTGTTGGCCTATATTAATTGCTTAATTAAAAGCCAATTGTTTTATGTGTAGGATAACATATAATAAAAAAGAAAATGGAGATGGAAATTCACTCCTTGACAAATCCAAGATCAAGATTTAAAATTAAATGACATTATATCCAACAAAATTGTTACATGAAATGATGCAAAAACATGAAGAGATTTAGATAATGTTAAAGAATTGCAGAAGTTTAATTTGAATATAAGTCCTCCCATTAGTTGTCACTATGAACTTTTTTTTTATTTTGGTTTGTTCCTGTTCCTCTTGTGACTGTGATGGAAACTCTAGTCCTGTTATGTTTCAGCCCTTCCTCCACCTTGTCCCCACTTTCCTACTGTTTAATAGGAAATTAAGTTTGACATTTGCTTAACAGGAATTGGTGTCACTGGCCAAATGCATGGAGTTGTTTTTTGGCATAAATCTAAAGATAAAATTGAAAGTTTGGAGTGTATTGACGAAAGTCTCAGTAGTAACCTGTACACATGGCAGGATCAAAGATGTTCATCTGAATTTTTGGGTAAGACTTAGATCTATAAAAAATAAAATGCACTAGGCAAGCAAATTGATATTTGAAATTCATTGTCTTCTGGCTTTAAACCTTTATTGCAAATTTTATAATAGGGCAGTGATGTATGCCTAGTCAGTCATGCACCCTCTGAATTCTAATGAACCGGTGAAGGTCTCTTTGGCTCAGAATGGAGAAAAACGGGGTGAAAGCAAATGTTCCATACTGTGTGCTTTAGATTTATTTACAAATAAAACCCCCCCTATAACAGTAAAGAAAAGGAATTTAAAATTCTATTACTTCTTTACAATTTAAATCTATAGAGGCACTTCCAAAGTGGGGCAGCTCCCTCCAGTGTTTGTCTACTGGCTATGGCTGTGCCACCATGTTCTGGCTGGCAAGAAATCACCCAACATTTTTCAGAGATGGAGAGTATTGCTCCTGTGGAACTATCATGGATTTTTTGGTAGCCATTTTATGTGACATTGACCATCCGGTAACATCAGACCAACTTGCAGCTAGTCTGGGCTATTTTGATGAAACTACTTTAGGGTGGAGCTCTGTATTGTAAGATATTTTGAATAAGCATTTTCTTTAATAAATACCAATATAAAAAATATATACCGGTAATTAAAAAATTACCTCTAATTAAAAAATTACCTCTGTAATATCAATAAAGCTATGAAATAAAGTCTAGGCAAATACTAATATGATAAAATAAAATATGTTTAATTGCGGGAAAATAGCATAATAGATGAAGAAAAATGTAATTAGGATAGTTCATACGTGTCCAAGTCCAACCTGTAAAGTGTAGTGCTAAATTTTCAGTTTCTGCCTTGTTTGTGAATATATTAAATAAATAAATCTTTGAATAGCAATAGTAAACCCAATGAATTCAAAATTAATAAATATGCCTATGCGGCTAAATTTATTCACTATTAATAAAATAACATGCAACTATTGTAAAAATTCTTAAAGTAACTTTTATAATTTAATATTCATTTCATTCATAATCAAATTACCTCTTTCTGCAACTTCTGTATCTATTAAAATGATTGTATAGCAAGCTACCTACTGCTTTAAAACACTCTAAGCAACAATGTATTTTGGAGAGTATCGATGCAGCAAACTCTAACTTGACCACCAAGTCATAATTATTTGCACCAAGCCTTCAGTGTTGATATCATATAATTTGAAAGCTAAACAAATTAACAGGCAGCTTCTCTGCCCAACTGCAATCATCAAAAACACACATTATTTTTTTAGGTATAATAAAACTTGAAGTTTTACATGAGTTCTGGTGTCAAGATCTGTAATGTTATTGTCAAACAAACTTTAAGTTATTTCAATTTAATTTGTCAAATGTATACCTGTTTAAGTAATTTATTTGATTAATTACACACTCTCAAAAGCGAAGTAATACCAAGTCAAATAAAAAGATTTATATATATATTTTTATGTTATTAATGTTATATTTTAGACAAGATGTCGATGAGTTCCCTCTCCATTTATTGCCAAAAGTTGTGGCAGCTGGGACCCAAGTAGGGGAAGTCTGTGCTTCACTAAATGGTTGGCCAGCTGGAGTTCCAGTGTTTGTTGGAATGGGAGATGTGCAATGTGCTATGTATGATGTGCTAAAGAATACTAGTGATGCAGGTAGGACAATATATTTTGCAATCTGATATGATCAGTTAACAGTATGTCAGTTGTCTCCCCTGAAATGTGATTATTTTCCTTCACTTTGTCGCCTATAATATAATATATGACTTCGTATAGTGTGATGTGTACTGCATTTTTAAAACTAAATTTTTTGAATTATGTTTTCTATACATTTGAACCTCTATCTTTGATAAAGTTATTTTTAAAATAATTTTCAATTTTAATTTCTATCATAAATAAAAATGTGAATAATGTTTATATTTTATTGAATATCATATAAAAAATGGTGTTAATAGAACTTTGTAATGGGTAAAATACACATTTTTGTTTCTTCTCTTCTTAATTTTTTGAAGAATTTAAGTAATTTTTAAAATATATTGTAAGGTAATGAAATTTAAAGTCTGTAGTGAGTCAGTCATGCCTTACTTCCCCTAAAATTGTTGTGTTTTACTTGACTATTTTTTTCTATAGTATATGACAAGGAATAATTCATAAATAGATCTATGCAAATGTATGTATGTATATTAGCATTACCATAAATCATTCTAAATTTCAATCTAGTTAAATAACCTCTTAAACCTGAGATTCTCTAGCTGATTGTGCATGTACAACTAGTGGTAAATTATATTGATCTTGCATAGATCTAGAAGATATTAAACAATGTAATAAAAGACCAATATAAATGTAGATATCCATGTCAGGTGACAATATATTACATACACAAGGTGGTACAGCAATTATTAGCATTTATTCAAGTGGTAAAAACTTTACAAAAGTTTGAGAACCCCTTTGTTATTTATGACTATTTACAACAGAAAACATATGCTGTGACACACATAATTAAGACCAGAAACATATTAAAAATGGCATTTGTATTTATTTCAACACAACCATACATTGAATGGCTTACTCTCATGTCTTGTGTGTTTATTTAAAAATATATTGATGGATTTGATATTAAGTACACAGTCATTACCTTATACTATGTACGTTATAAGAAGTAAAAAAAGGTGAAAGTTTACAACTGAGTATGAAGGAATAATAAATTGACCCTCCTCAACTAAAATATGATGAAATAAATTATTATAATTCAAAATATTTTTCTATTAAGGCTTAAATAAATTAAACGAGCCTGCACTCAAAAATTTTAATCTATGACACATCAAATAAAGTAGGTCCAACTTTAATATTCTGAAGTGAGTGTTTATTTTGTGGTCACATATTTATCATCTAACTTAATGCTCTTTAAAAATTCCTTACTGATTAAAATTCCTAGTCTACCCACTTTATAAACAGACACATTTGGTCCATTGACATAGACTGCCTCAATATTTATTTTATCATGATAAAAAGCACTTGTTTGTATAGCAATGCTGGTAGATTAGCTGGTGTTAGTAGATTATCTAGCACTGGCCTGTATCATATCTTATTAAAAATATGGAAATTCACAATGCCATGAATATGCCTGCAGGCCAGTAAACGTAAAATCTCCCACATTGATGTATTGACATTTGTTTCCTGAATTCAGTAATGAACCATTCCCTTCAAGCATCTATATGCTAATGCATGCAATAAATCTCTTAATTTCCAGCTTTGAAGTTCAAGATCTAAATTGTAATCATTTTAAAATTGTCATAGTTGAAATTAGCAAAAAAAAATTTTAAATCTTCTTGTTCAAGCCTAGATGAAATAATTTCAGAAATATTGATTTGATGTCTAGTCTTAAATGAGTATTCGAGGTATAACCTTGCTGTAAATTAGCATGACCATAGTTCCTTAAAAAAAGTTTTAAAAAATAAATTTTAATACAGTTCAATTTTTCTCATTTTTAAATGGTCGGTTCACAATTTGTTCATGTTTACTTGTGGACGAACCGACATGTATTGCTCACTTGATTCAGATGAAAACCTTAGATTTATTTTAACATGTGCTCAGTGGTGGTATTTTTCTTCACTTGTGTCGGATTATGGTCCTTGATGGTGTCTGTTTGACAATTGTTGTTGGGCCGCCAACTTCCTTTATAACCTCTTTGCTGCGTCTTCCAGTTCTGCTCACTTTCTTCATGACGTCATACTCCTTGCCTGTCTCCAAGTCTGTGACATGAGATAATGTTTTTCTCCTCCCAACTTTTATGCTCTCAACAACTTGCGTTTGATGGGGTTGGATAAAGCTGGGTCTCACCAATGGTGGAAGTCCAGTTAACAGATTCCTACTGAGAGAGGGTGGTTGCATGTAGCCTTCTGCTGCAGGTGGCTGGGCATGGTAGTAACCGGGTGGTTCATGTTGCTGTGTTTGAAATAGTTCTTGGGTCCCAACTGGTTGCTGGTCATCAATAGGAAATTTCTGGTCTGATGGAATTTCAGGGAGTGTCTGTCTGGGACTGGTCTGTGTGTGGACTGATCCATAGTTTTGTTGATAAGGTTGGTTGGTGTACATAATGTTAACGTACCCTCCTGATGCATATTCTGTGTACTCTTGCGGTGCCTCAGAATATGGTGGAGGCGCTAGCAAATCACTCGTCATTTCTGCAGTTTGGCTTGAGTTGGCTGTAAGTTATAAAAATATTATAATTAAAAGAAATTAAAAACTTTTAAAAAAGATTTAAATCAAACCTTTCAGACTTTAATTCTGTTACAAGTTACAAGCGATGTTTTAATTTGAATTGTGCTGGTCTTTATTCTAATTTTGAAAAAATTAAAATACACATTTAAAAAGTGAGGATCAGGACCTTTCAAATTAATACTTCACTTTATTTATTTGGAATAAGGCTTGTTGTACTGAAACTTTTATCAATAAAATAGTTAGAAAAGCTTCACTTGATTTATTATGACTATAAAATAAACGAGGAATATCTGTGAAAGAAATTTATTTACCTCCAAATTTTTGTTCATCCATTTGGAAATTTGAATTTGTAAGTCACACAAAAATTTTCTGCCAATATCTTAAGATGTCAATGCTGAAGTAAATATAGTATATTAATTCCCAATGTAGAAATATACTTCTAAAATGTATTGCTGTCCTGTAAAACTGTCATAAAGAAATTAGTTGATCACCAAGACTATCATACTCCAAATAAAATTACCTGGGCTACCTGTAATTATGCTACAACTGAACTTTTATTCATGAAGATAAAAACTTGATTCAGAAATAAGGTGTTAAACATAAAGCTGCAATTTTATTGGCTTGTCACAGTCACAAGACTTGACCTATAAATAGCACAAACCAGGAGTGTACACATAAGAGCAAAATTAGACTAGAAGTAATAGAAGTTGTAGGGATATTGTATAACCTTTAGTCTACTGAACTTTGTCACATGGATTAAACTTCTGAGTCTATTGTATCTTGAAAGATAAAAAGTTGAAATTTTTAAGAACTATGGACTACATACATGGTTACAAAGTATAATAATAAATAAATCATTACCCAATGCTTATGGGTCAGGTTTAGGGGAGGGGGCTGAAATGTTAGTATCAATGCCAGCTTAAACAAAAAATGAGAAAAAACCTTGTGTTTGAAACCAACTTATACTAATATAAAAACTTCATCAATTTAAAATGTTTAATAATTTAGAACCCATGGCTTCTTTTGTCTTTAGTATAAGTCATGATTGCCCACAGTTACCAACACTGGTGACCTTAAAGAAAGTAATCTGTAGCTAATGGAAATAAAACTAAGGGAGATTGGGGAGAATTAAAAATCGCTCAAGATTGTTACCAATGCAAAATTTCATTTAGTGAAGTAAGTTTTTTTTAACTTTTACATGAAACAAATAAAATTGAACATGATAAATACACATTTAATTTAGTCAATGGGTAAATCCAAGGTTTCAAATTAATGCATAATGAATAAACTGGTTTAATTGATTAAACTGGTTTAATCTTTTGATTACTACCAATTCCCACTCATTATTTCAGAAGTAATCATTACTTTGACAGACTTGTGAATACAGCTGCCAGCATTAGCACATCCGTACAATTTGTTTTAGCACGGAACTCGTGTGTAAAAACTGTGGTAAAGACTGTCACTCAAGGATAGGACTGCACAGCCACTCGAGAAAATGCAACCCAACCAAACGGTGATGCACCATCATCTCACGAGACGGAAGGATGCCGATTATTACAATTTGTTTTACTCAAGTAATGGTTACTTTTGGTGTTCCTGAAGTAATGATTATTTTTTTATGTGCTTGTTATTTCAGCTGTCAATATCAGCACATCCATACAACTGGGCTTTGTAGTACCTGGCCATGAACTTGAACTAGTCCAACAGCAATCGCCTTCCAGTATTTCATATTTTCCTTATTTCAATGGCAACAAATTGGCTTTGTGTGCTGGACTCAATGGAGGAAATGCCATTCATCACTTTGTGCAGTGTATCACAAAATGGTTTACAGATCTTGGTAAAAATATTTTAGATTTTTTATATAACTAACTGTTGGAACATGTGGCCCTAGAGAGAACAGTGGGCCAAATGGTACATGTGGACCTAGATAGGACAGTTGGCCAAATGGTTCATGTAGACCTAGATAGGACAGTTGGCCAAATGGTTCATGTAGACCTAGATAGGACAGTTGGCCAAATGGTTCATGTAGACCTAGATAGGACAGTTGGCCAAATGGTTCATGTAGACCTAGATAGGGCAGTTGGCCAAATGGTTAATGTAGACCTAGATAGGACAGTTGGCCAAATGGTTCATGTAGACCTAGATAGGACAGTTGGCAAAATGGTACATGTGGACCTAGATAGGACAGTTGGCCACATGGTTCATGTAGACCTAGATAGGACAGTTGGGCAAATGGTTCATGTAGACCTAGATAGGACAGTTGGGCAAATGGTTCATGTAGACCTAGATAGGACAGTTGGCCAAATGGTACATGTGGACCTAGATAGGACAGTTGGGCAAATGGTTCATGTAGACCTAGATAGGACAGTTGGGCAAATGGTACTTGTAGACCTAGATAGGACAGTTGGTGAAATGGTTCATGAAGACCTAGGTAGGACAGTTGGTGAAATGGTAAAAGTAGCCCTAAATAGGACAGATGGTCAATGGTACTTGTAGACCTAAATAGGACAGATGGCCAATGGTACTTGTAGACCTAGATAGGACAGTTGGGCAAATGGTAAAAGTAGCCCTTAATAGGACAGATGGCCAAATGTACACATGGTCTTAGATAGGACAGTTTCCCAAATAGACTTTCAGTATCAGCTCAGTTTGATACAAAGAATGTAATTTGGCATGTAACATATTATATTATAACAAGTGTGCCCTTGTCACTGTCATGTGACACTAGAAACTGTTCCATTAAAATATTCCTCAATGGTTTTGATATCTTAGTCAAATCTATAATTAGAAAATAGTAATATTTTCAAGCTGTTTATTATTAATATTAGGTTACATGGTGAGTGGGTTGTTAAAGCTATGATATGGAAGGTAGAATAATATATTTAAAATAATAAAGCAATGATATGGAAGAAAGATTAATATATTTAAAATAATACAGCTATGATATGGAAGGTAAAATAATATATTTAAAATGAGAATTAGTTAAGCAGCCAGGATACACATCCTTTGTTTTTATTTTGGGTTTTCACACTCTGTAATTTATCAGTTCATGACAATTGGTTTTTAAAAATATAGAAATTAAATATCTTTGATGCTTTTTTGTTTTTAAAATGTGGCCAAAATGATTGTCTTAATTCAATTATTCTAGGACTAATTGATGGGATAAATCCAGATGACCTCCTTCCAAAGTTGCAAGAGTTGGCAGAAAAACAGATGAATGTGAATAACACATTAATTGTGCGTCCAATATTTTTCGGGGAGCGGCACAACACCGGCCTTGCAGGACATATCTCTGGTTTCAATTCAACAAATTTTTCTGACATAGGTGCCATTTTTAAATTGTTGTGTGAGGGCGTGGTGGACCACTTACATGACATGGTGCCTCTCAAATTCCTTTTGAGCAGAGGGATTAATCAACTGTTAATCTCTGGATCAGTGCCTGTCAATAACCCAATAGTTAAACAGAGATTAAAACAACTGTATGAAGATATTGCAGTGACCCTGGACCTGAAGGAAACTGATGCAGTAAGTTCTGCCATTGGAGCTGCTAAATTAGTAAGAGACCGGACAACTGATGTTAGAATATGAGGGATTACGTTTCTTATTGCGCATTTAGAAAATGGTGGTAACAAGTTGCCATTTGAGCTGCCAAGTTGGGAAAGGATGTTAAATTATGAAGTTAAACTTTTCTTGTTGTTAACAATATTTCTTTTTGGTTTAGTATTTTATTTTTTTAAAATCTTGATTGTGTCCTTTTTTTATATTACAATTTAAACAAAAGTTGACAGCAACAGTGACATAAGTTCATTATGAGTGAGTTTAAGCAAAGGGAAGAGGGAAATAGAGAAATAAATATATTTCAAGAAATATCAGGTACCATAACACTGTTTCTTCTGCATGTGGCTGGCAAATGGTTATTTAATCAGGTTTTTATGAGAGGAAAGGTTTGATAGAAATAACATCTGAAGGTAAATGTGAATTAAGCAAACATTTTTATGATTGAGTCGAATGACTGATCTCTTGGCTGGCGAAGATAATTGTAGATTGATTGATTAAAGATGTATTGAAACAAAATCTCCACATTGTAGTTGTAGTTCTTTGTATATAGTGTGCCTTTTTTCCTGTGGGTTTGAAAGAACAGAAAACATAAATTCCTTTCACTCTCACATAACTCTTTTACAAATAGAAATGTAAAGCATGAAGTTAAATTTAATATCACGTCATACACTTTGTAAACCATGTCCAGGTCTCTTACATGAAGTTACTGAAATTATGGGTGGGGGGGCCCGGACACGATTGCAAATAAGATTTCAAAGTTCGATTTAATTTTCAAGTAGAGTTTATAAAGTCTATAAATGGAAAGCATTTTCCAATTCTGAAAAACTAGGGGACTACCCTTTGTGACTAACTTCATGATGTCTTTTAACACAACAACCTCTGTTTCAATAGAAAAGGCACGAAAGGCTATTGAAATAATATTTATTTTATTTTACACATTAAATATACATTTCATTTGGCGTCTACATTTTGCTGGCAACAGACACTGGGTTCTTTTAATTCACATGAAGATGTTGTGCCTGTGTCCCTAATATCTGTAGTTGACAGCGTGTCTGTCGTAATTCCATTAACTTGACCAGTTGGAACGGGGCCACTGGTGGCCGTAGGAGCACCAGGCACTAATGCGACCGTGGCACTGACCACCACTCTAGTTTTTTTAACCACTCTTGTCTTGTTGGCTTCATTGTTTACCGTCCATGGCCCCAGACTGTCATTGGCATAGTAATCCATTGGGTATGTGGACTGCCATTCTGTCAGCCTTAGAGCAACACTCATCTACAATAGTCAGAGGTAAACAAATTTATTAAAGAAGAATCAAATTTATTTTGTGTGGCATAATAGCGCTATTAGGTAATGCAGTCTGTGTTGCTAAAACAATAAATAACAAATATTTCATTCACTTAAGGATTAAACCTTAAAAAAAACTTTTTAAAAGCATGAGAAAATAAATAAAAATATTAAAAAAAGAGAGTAGGAACAACTACTCTGATAAAATTTTAACAATTATAAAACAGTTGTCTTTGCTTTGAAAGACCTTTAGACATTAAAAAAAAGAAAGCATTTACTTGTTTTCTCTACATAGTATCTAAATTATTTGATTTCTTAAATGACCTGAACATACCCAGATAGACAATGTAATCCTACAGAGTATAAAGCAAGCACTTACTTCATAAGGAGTTAGTAGAGGTTTGTTGAATGCTGAGCCCCAGTCTATAGATAACCTTGGGCAGGCCACTTGAACCCATCTAAACAAATATTTAAGTGTTGTATATTATGGACTTTTGTTTCATAATGTTTGAGGTTTAGACTTGTTTTACACTGTGTGTGAATTAGACTTTTGTTTCATACTGTGTCAGAATTAGACTTTTGTTTCACAATTTAAAACTTTCAATTCATATATTTCATTCATAATGTTTCAAATAAAAGACATGGTAGTAATATAAATAAATAAATAAATAACGATTAATAAATGAAATAGACTGCATAGAATTCAAATCTACTTAATACACAAATAGAGATATATTTTTTATTATTATTATTATATATAATATATTATTATACATGGTTTTATATAGCGTGGTACCCCAGCCTAGGGCTAGGCTCACCATGTTGTACATACAATTTAACAAACATAATAAAAAAACTTTAAAAATTAATTGATATACATTAATTAAATAAAACAAAACAAATGTATATTTAAAACTATTTACATCTCAAGCCATGGATGACAATCAGTACCATCGTTTTTCGGTCAGAGGTGGGAAATTTACAATTATTTATAACTTCCTTTTAACATTTTTTCATGTTACACACGTTTGGAAAAAGAATTTTTCATGCAGTACGAAAGTAAACATTTAATTCTACTTACGCATCCACATCACTCATGATCTTTAGTTTGTCAGGAAAGATTTCTGATAGTAACACTGTGACATATTCTCTCCCTGCTGCTTTGACTTGACCCTGGAGGTTCTGAGGCGGAATATAGCAAACTGTTATATGTAATTTTAAAATATTGACCCTTCTGATGGTTGCAGAACAGAATTATTATTATATATTGTTTGAAATTGCACAGAACATCATGAATATCAAAAATAGCTGACATATGCGAAAATTACTTCAACTGAAGGATTTTTATTTTCACCCAAACTGTTCTTCAACTTTATTCTGGAAATAAGTTATTTAACCCAACTTAACAACTCAAAAACAAAATAAATAAAAAAAAAAAAAAAAAAAAAAAAAAAAAAAAAAAAAAAAAAAAGGAACTGATAAAAATGGATATGTCCTGCTTCTATTCTGTTCCTCAGAATCCAAATGTTAGATCTGGCAAACTTGACTTGCTTGGAGTAAGAGAGTGCGTTTGAGTGAGTTGATTTACATATGATTACCTCCATAACTTTTGTTGAGCCTTGTCGCCCAAGTGTGCCTAGAATGATGCCAATCTTCTTAGCAGTCTTTGCCACAGCAATAGCTTCTTGCCGAACTTGGTGCATCCGTTTAGTATCGTAGTATTCTCTAGTGAAAACTTTGTTATAGGGATCATACCTGTGCAAAATTAAGTGTAAATGATTAATTGGAAGGTTAAAAAATGATTGGTTTGTTTATTAACTTCATTGAACAGATTAGAAATCAATGAATTATTTCTACTAGGTAGCTATTGTTTGTGATATATTATGATTTGAGACAAAATTATTACATTGCATGCAGCACCAAAAAAATATCCACCAAATTTAATTTGGTTATATTTACTTGTAGGCAGCAATGTCTGGGTTGTGTATCATTATTGATTCAAGATGGAACCTGCCATCACCGAGGTAGCTGTGAGAATGACGATGCAATAAATAAATTTTAAAAATTTCTTTCTCAACTTTTTTTGTTTTCATTAATATTAGAATTGTTTTAATCTGGTCTTAACTTCTAAAATTTAACATTAAAATATAACATTTTACAAATCACATTGCATTAATAAGGATTTTCATTTATCCTATTATTTTACACCTTCAGCTTTTTACATTTTTACTCTTTCATGACGTAAGTCACAGTTTTTCATTTTTATTTTCTTTGCCTGTTACACATAACAGTTGATAATTTTGCATCAGAAATTTGTCATTGTGCGATTAGAAATAAGCTAAATGGAAAGTGAAGTCAAGCAAAGTGATCAATTTTAAATAGCAATCATCCACTAAAGACCGCTTGAAAAAAAAAATATTTTTGATGTTTCTGAGCAAAATACAAAACTTTTCATTTTAAAAAACAAAACTTACACAATCACATCAGTCTCTGCCAACCTGGGAGATGTGCAGCCCAGTATTTCACCTGGCGATAGGGGTTTGCTTTGTGGGGTGATGACTGTATAGTCAGGACTCAGCTGTTGTCTGGCACTCTGAAACATTCAAGTTTGTATAAGCTGCCTGTTCTGACTTGAACAAGTTACATGTGGATAGATGAATAGCAACAAAAAATGTTAACTTACTTGGAGGGCTGCCACAAATTGAATGGTGCTGACCAAAGCAATGCGGGTGCCCACTTCAAAATTGAACTTCAAGGTTTCGATGAAATGCATGGTGTCAATTTTGATGTCTACAAACACATAAAGCATCTGTATGCCCTCAGTTTGATCTATAGGAACTGAAGTGGATTGTGTTTTTTAAAAAAATACAATAAAAACAATAGTTTCTGCTCAAAATATATATAGAAAGATTTATGCACTTTTAAAAAAAGAACTACTCCAGAACATTGCAGCCACACAATCAATATTCTAAGTAACATCATTACATTTTAATTTAAAAACATCTTTTATTAAAAATTTTTAATTTTCAGTTAATATAAAAAATGTTTTTATCTTAAAGGCTTGGAGCTACAATTAACTCATACGATTATCGGTACATATTTTTAGATCTGTATGTCCTGTGAATGATTTTTAAAAATAATTTCAACCAGACATTCCCAGCATGAAATTTGATTAAACTTGAGTTTAATCTTTGCTAAAATACATCAGATTAGTGCAACACTACATGCCCATGTCTGAAATGAGCAATTGTCCTTGAAGGGCATTAAGAAAAAAATACTGATGGCAAAGGCGTTTCAACGCCACAAAAGAGCAACTGCTGGACTTCAGTAGCCACAACATAATATTGGAATTAAATAAAGGAAACATGGCTAATTAAAGACATCTTTTACTATTTGATTAGACTAGACTTAGCCTACATGAAATGATGAGTACGTTCCTTGAGGACATTCTAGTCACAATTGTTTAAAGAACTTTCATAAAATTAGTAAGAATGTGTGTGCAGCTAAGGAGAGATTATTCACACATCTATGTGATGTTGTGGGCGTAGACATGCAGATATAAATAATATAATGGGGAAAAGGCTGCTGTTTACTTATGAAGTGTTTAACTGATCAATGGCAAAGTTCCAAAATACTTACTCAAACAACTATGACCATAATGCACCATAAGGTCAGCACCCAATGCTCTAGCTGTAAAGTCATCAACACAGCAGGCACCATAAGTCACATCTCCCATGATAACTGTATCTGCATCAGTAAACCTGTTAAGTAAATGGAATATGGTAATCCTTAGTGCACTCTAATAAATGTATATTTTGGAATAAACTTTATTACTAACAGCAAATCCTATCATAATATAACTAAAATTTAAAAATTCAATGTCATCAGTTTTGTGAGTAGAGATCCTTGTCTTAAAAATTTCTTTGAATGAATTTGTGTAAATAAGTTTTTGATGTTGTCCATTTCAGTCTCTCTCTCATGAGTGCTGTGAACCATGAGTTAAGCTAGGTCTTTGTAATTGAACAAGTTTGAAAAACAATAAAATTAAGTTAAAAAGAGTTTGTTTATTTCTGCAGCAGTGAAATTTAACAAATAAACAAACAAGACAGATTTTAAAAATTCCTATTGAAACACATTGAAACTTTTGATATTGTAATTTTTAAAAATTGCCATTATCTTTTATTTAAATTAGAATGAACCTTGAAAAGACAATCATAATGATCATAAAATTACATCAAATGTGAACAGGTTATCTAACATGCTTAAAAATGAATTCTATAACCAATACCAGATACAGCATGTAAAAAATATATTAGGTTAATTAACTAGCTACTAGCACTAACTTTTCAATTATATCTGCGATAACACAAGCATACAGAAGTAGACCTTCCGGGAACTGCAAAGCCACACGTTTAGCTCCATTTTGACGAACTTTCCATATTGTTTTGTGGATTTCAAAATTGTAGTTTTCAGGTAGCTGAAATAGATGCATATTAATTAATAAATCTTTAACTCTATATTTAATGTAAAAATAAAGTAATACAAGAATAATTATAAAATGATTTTAAGATTAATGAATTAAATTTTATTTTTTCTCCTAGGCAAGAAGGATTAAAAGTTGCTGATATTTTTAAATAATTTAGGTTTGGCTTGGAGATAATTTTAGGATGGATTTGCTGTTATTTTCAGTTACACACCAACGATTATACTTGGTTAAATAGTGCTATAGCTCAATGACAGACAACTTTACTAGCCATAATTTAAGCCAGCCACCTCTAGTCGAACCAAGCAACAGTTAGATGGGTAGAGGCTAGAAGAGGACAATCGTGTTCATTAGAAGATGTTAATATAATTAGTGCATATTATAGATGCCTGGCTGAAAGTGAATTATAATATTGAATAATACACTTAAGATTCTAAATAATTTTACAACCTGTTTAATGGCATTGTTAATCTCAATATCATTTAAAATTTCATCAGGAATCTGGTGCAATGCTCGTCTGGGCTTGTTTGCTCCTGAAACGGTGAAAGGTGGTAAAAAATAACAATTGTCAATGACATTTTCCATATTCAGTAGCGGTAATATTAATAACTGACATATATATATATATATATAAACTTTGTTTTTATTGAGCAGAATTGATGAATGGTTGCTCACTTTAAAAAACAAATGTAATTGAAATTATTGACATTATCAATTATCATGCTCTTTTCCAAAATATTAGGCCTGATTAAAATAATATTATAAAAATAGCAGGCCTATAAACTGTCTGTATATTAGTAATTAGTGTCTATATTACTATCATGATACCGAGCCTGATACACAACTCAGTCACACCAGACTGAAAGAGTCAAAATCAAAGACAATGACGGAGTCAGGGCCAGAATTAACTTACGAGAGGCCTTAGGCCATTCTAATATTGAGGCCCCGTAACAATAATGCCTCTTGCCCCTTTTCATTTTGTAATTTTAAAAATACAATTAGAATAGTATCTGGTACTGTATCCCTTTTCAATGAACATCACGATGTAAATATTTCTTTTAATATCACTTCAATCATGGGTGGCAACCCAAATGTCTTCATAGGTCATTTTGATAGTGAATGAATTCTTCGAAGGTAACATGCCATTCAACTTATCACATACAAAAGGCCAAATAATTATAAAACTAATCAAGTTTTATTGTGCTTAAATATTTTTTATGCTATTTATTTACATGTACTTGTAGCACACAGTTTTTGATGAATCAGTTATGAACATACGGAAAACATGCTGTTTCATCAGGATTTTTGGGGGAAAAAACAGTGCAGTAGAAAGAATGATTTTTCTAAGCAAATGGCATTTTTTAAAATCAATTTAGTTTAATTTTAAATAAAAACAATTTGTAATAACTATACCCTGACTTCTCTTGTGTTAATTCTTAGGATTGTTTCGTAATATTATTGGATCTCAGCCTTTTGGCCAGTTTGAAGAAGACTAGGAAAATCTTTTCCCCATCAAGTTACCAAACCTATTATTACTAATATACAACAGCAGTAGGGCTATATTTATGGCCAGCTCTTAAAAAACTTAAAAGTTTAAATTTTAGTGGATTTGTTCATGATATTTTTAATTTGTGATTTGTAAAATATTTATCCTAATTTGTATATTTTAGAGCTTTTTTTTGTAAAAAAATAAATTAGTAATCTATATTTTTCAAGCCATAAAATATGGCCTCTTAAATTGAGAGGCTCCTTCAATTTTTGGGGCTGTGGGCTTTAGCCTAGCCTAAAGGGCAAGGGGGCGGGGTGACCGCACGTCAGTGACACTAGTTGCTATGTGTTCACCACAAAAATAATGTAAGGGTTAAAACTGTTTAAAAATGTTAAAAGTTTTGTTCCTATTTTCATTTCTCTCTGACTCTGCATGTAGGCCGTAGGCACTTTGATTAAAATTTCAAAACATTTTTAAAAATATAAAAACACTACTGCTGTATAGAGCCTGGAGAATAGATTACAAAAACACCAAGATCAACTTTCTAGCTCAAGTGGTTCAAAAGTTATGAATTTTTTAGTAGGGACCTCAAAGGCCCTTTTTTACTATGGGATTTTCCTCCACATTTCGTGACCCTCATTTTGATTTTTTTTTAAGGCCTATAACTTTATTATAAAATGACACAAAAATATAATATTTACAGGGAACATATTTTAATTAGAGTACTTCTAAATAAAACCACAAAATATAAGTTAGTTTTTGTTAATATTCCGCAAAAATTATTTTAAAAATCTTTATTATTTTCCTATTAAAAATATATAAAATATGCTGACTCGTCACTTATTCGTAATTAATTAATTAATTATGTATAAATATTTTTTTTCAATTTCCCAAAATTCATAATAATAATAAAATATTCTTAAGATATTAATTTCAAATTTTCTGTGGAATTGTTTAAAATTTATAAGTATATACTAATAATAAAGGGATTATTTGTTTCAATAAGTTAAAATTGACAATTAAACTTTTTATTTTACCATTTTCTATATAATGTATTTTAGTCCCATACCATATGAATGTGTGAATATGACAAAAAATAGTATGTCATTTATTTTAAGTTAGTACAGTTGTTTCACAGATCAACATTTATTATTAGAATCAACTTTAGCTGTTGATAGAATTTTAAATAAGTTCTAGTTATTTGCTTGAGGTAATTACAATGTTTTATTATTAAATTTTAGTAATATCTCATGTAATTCTTGGATTTTTGTGGTAGAAAGTGTGTTTTTTTCTTTGAGAATACTGATAATTCTCTTTTGGAATAGTGTGATATGTGATTAAATATAATATAGGATATTTCAATACCAAAGGTAAGTGAATATTTTTTGTACACTTTTACTTAATTTATGCCTTAAGAATCACCATATATATCATTACATATGAATAATGGGTCCTACAAAAAACTATTTGGTGGGGAGGGGGGAGGTGGATAGGCCTACACTTATAATAGTAATACTATTCTAGGCCTCTATATATACATACACACATATATATAATTATATATGTATATATATTATATGTATATATATAGTTAATAGTATACATATAACAACAGTATATAAAACTAATAGTTAACTATTAATTGTAATTAATTAGGCTTTTTTAACCTAATATCCCTCAATAAAAGCATCAAATCATATTAAAAATATGTGTTTGTTTTATTAATTATTTTATTTTTATTTCTAAATAAGTTATTAGGGGGTAATAGTCTGGATTTCCAGAGTAAATCAGGTTATTTACCATAGCAACGAATATTAACGATAATAGGTAATTTTGGGACACACGTGACTAAAATTTCCCATGAAATTTCTGACCAAACTGATGGTCCTAAATTAACAGGTCTTGGATATGTTGTAGTTAATGCCATTATTTATAAAGTCCTTGAAATTCTATGAAAGGTCCTTTTCCACAAAAAAAATATGAATGAGTAAAAATTGCGTTATTTTACCTTCAATTTTCAAAGTGAAGCCCCAAAATTTTTGGGGGGACTCAAGTATCTAATCATAACACAACATGTCTACTATAAGTTGTGGGCGGAAATAGAATTAACATCCTGGGCTATATAGTTAAAAAGTCGTAAACAACGTGACTCTCGGTAAATTAAAAAGTGGAGGTCGCCATTTTGACAACGAAATCACGATACCCGGTTTTCGGCACTTCCCGGATCTTACCGAAATACCTACCGCATAGCTAAAACTAGCACATTCTCTCTTTCCCCTCCCCATTTTAACTGATGAGTGTTTGCACCACTTTTTTATACACTGCCGCCGTTTTGGTTGCCATAACACTCTGCTATCATGGGAACCAAGATAGCGGCCGTGGGAAATAAGAGGCGCGGAAAACCAACATTTACCAACTGCAGTGTAGTGATGTAGTGTAACTCAAAAACTTAAGTCAAGCCCATCGGACTCAAGTAACTGACTGATGAACACTCATAAAAGCTGAAGTTGCACTTTATTATTTAGCTTCAAGTTAAAAAAAAATAACAAGCCGTTAATCTGAGTTGAACAAATCAGTTATAAAAAAACATTAGTCTGATTTACAACCTGCTTGTGAATATACTTTGCGTTCCGAAGAAGCGTTAACTACAACTGCGGAAGCTGCCATCTTGAATTGATAGTACCCTCCCTTTACAAACAATTTTTAAAAAAAGCTCATTTTAAAACACAATAAAACAAATAAATAGTTAAAATAAATTCTTCAACAATAATAATAATAGAAACAAATGTTAGTCTACATTTACTCAAATTATGAAAGGAACAAACACATTTTTTTTACAATAAAAGGATGTATGTCAATGACATAAAATTAAAATATTGTTGAAATTCCTTTGGTAACTCTTTAGACTTTATTATCGAATTGTTGTATACAAGTATAACATAAATAATATGAACGACTTTGAACGAACGCGAAGGAAGATTTTATTTTTAACATAGCCGTTAGCACAGTTGATTCAATGCTGGTTAAGTAAAGGGGACGGGATACCTGAATACCGTTCAGAGGCACGTACAGGCGGGAGTTTGTTCCCTTTGCATTTGCATCAGTGAACGGGTCACAGTTTACAAAAGAGCAATAATTTAATTTCCCAATCTTGTACAACATATTTTTGTTGATTATTACTTACACTTTTAGCGACCAACTGTTGGCAGCTTCGTTGTGTGTTCTGTTTAAACATGTTTGTGTTCAATAAATTATTTTGTTTTAATCCTTCATATTAACTTCGCCTATATTTGTGGCTGGCGTGCAAAATCTTTGGACGACTAATTGACCCATTTCCAGTCGAGTTGAAACTTGGCATTTATATTCATTACCGACGACAACACATTCTCTCAGATTTTCAGCCCCACCCCCAACGACCCAAAAAAAAAAAAAGCCGCTTTTCTCTTTTTTTCAAGGGGAAGTTGAAGGAAATATGATTTCACGAAATAAAAGTCTTGATAACCGCGCTCAATGAGATTCTTTAAAAACAAATATCGCAAGTGCGTATGGTGCGTAATATTTTCTGATTTTTTTAAATTGTATATTTTTGTTCTAAACTAATTGGTTCAACAATTCTGCGGTGTAAAAGTGAGTGGGACATTAGAATGTAAATATGGTTCAGGGGCGTTAACAAAATGTGCGGTTGTGTGCCTTGAGGGTGGGAGCACTAATTGGGGATTCTTATAAAGTACATTACTTGTATGCAGGTTTTGCTTAATTTCAACCCCACCCCTGCATTGCTGGATATTACATTTTATAAACAATTTACGCGAAAAATTTAGTTTTTAGGGGTTGTTTAATTGAACTTGTGTTTACAGGAGTTTGTTTAATTATGGCTTTGTTTTTATGGGTTGCTAAACTTTTTTCTCACCTAAGAGAGAAGGAAACTCTGACATCAAAACCCGGAGATGGAGTCCCGAAAGCGCGGATAACATTGGTACAATGAAACATTCCCGACAACGCCTGTGACGTCACTGGTGCCAAGCTGTATCATCCAGTGATGTTCCCATGGGTTATCCAGCGGCGTGGAGAGAGGCGATTTGCTGTTGGGGACCAGCTTGAAGAATAATCCCAGGCCATGTGGATTTCGTCCTCCGAAGCTCACCCCATCGTCCCATTGTGACCGGACGGATGCCAGATAATTACGTTCTATGACTTGCGACCCGGAAGAGTTGGCCCGTGATGCAATCGGATCTTGAAGCCATTAACAAACAAAAAAGAAAAGAAGTTTATTAACTGCTAGCATTAAACAGAAATAGTTAATCTAGTCCTGTCAAAATAAGGATTAAGCCTATGAATTATTTTTTTTTTTTTAAATGTGTTTTATGACATATTTCCGTTCAAATGAAAAAGATAAGTCTGGCACCGGTCCCCTGTGTGACAGAAAACATGTCCAGCGGTCGCCCAGACTCAAAAGTTTGCATTATTTTGTTTTACTACATAGTATGTATAGTATGTTCAAATAGAAATTTGAAGGAAAATTTTAACGTGTGAACTGAAAAAAAAAAAGGAAAAAAGAAAAGATTCGGCCAAATTTCCGTCGATCGATTTTCCGTCAACGAAGTTTCTTTCAAACAAATTTCCTGTCAGCTATGGCTCCAATAATTTTCTCCGCCCGCACCCACCATCAGAAGC